ACACGAGGGGAGGGGTGGCTGGGGAAGGAGCATGGCGAGGATGCGCGGACGGAGGAGCGGCAGGGAGAGGGAGGAGGACGAGGGGAGGGGGGGGGCGTGATAGAAGCAGGGGAGGGGAGGCAGGGCTGAGCGGAGGGAAAGATCGCATGCCGATTGTGACGCTGGGCTTTCACGTGATCCTTCGCAGCAATCGGGCGACTCTCTGCTGCTGAGGAGGAGGAGGAGGAGGAGGAGGAGGAGGAGGAGGAGGAGGAGGAGGTGGTTGAAGCGGGGGACGTGGGGAAACCAAACGGTACCGATAATTACCGCTACTCCCTGGACATCTCTGGGAGTGCGCTCCGACCAGGATCTCGAGGCGAATCCAGCGGTGCCGACGAAGGCCTCCCAGGAGGCCCCACAGGGCGAAAACGAGGCAAGGGTATGGATACATGTGCCTCTGAGGTTGAAGTGGTGGACGGGGCCCGGGCTCGAGCTCGGGCTGGGGCTCGAGCTCGGGCCCGGGCTCGAGCTCGGGCTCGGGCTTGGGCTCGCTCGGGCTCGGGCCCCACACCTGGGGATGGGGGGCGGAGGCCGAGGACGGGCATGAGGCTGCCGACGCTGCCTCTAGCGTGAGGCCGGGCAGGTCCGCCTACGGGCAGATGTTGGCAGAAAGCCGAAAGCAGCCCACAGAGCACGAGACCTCGTCACCAGAACGATGCTCCGCCTATTCTTGAATCCTCTCTTTCTTTCCCCCTGTAGAGGGACACGCCCGACTTGCATCCAGCGAGGCCCTGCGTCCCCCCCGCCCGGCGCAGCCCGGCGCAGCCCGGCGCAGCCCAGCGCAGCCCGCGGCGCGGCCCGCTCCGCTCCGCTCTGCGCCGTTCCGTGGCGGCACCCGCGGCCGCGCCGCGCGGCGCCGCAGCGAGCCCCGGGGTCGTCGCCGGCCTCCGCGGCGGCGGGCGGCAAGGTTTAGGTCGCGCAGGGCCTCCTACGGGGAATGTTGGAGGAAAAGTACAAAGCTGTGCAAGTTGATGCTTTCCCCACCATTCATCCTGTGGTGTCGGGTCCTCGCTTTGGGGAGATAGCGCCCCACGTTGCTTCCTCTCCTCCTTCCTCTCCTCCTCCTCTCGCTCCTCGCCCTCCTCCCTCCTCTCATCATCAGCATCATCATCTGCATCATCCGCATCATCGTCATCATTGTCATCACCATCATCGCCATCATCATCATCGCAGTTATCGTCACCATCATCGACACACATTTCGGCACACCCCTCACACGTTTCGTGGCCCCACGGGGAGCTCCACAGAAGGCCCCAGTGCCACCGTCCACATGCGTCCCCCACACCAATTTCGGCATACCCCCCCCACACGCTTCGTGGCCCCACAGGGAGCTCCACCGAAGGCCCCAGTGCCACCGCCCACATGCGTCACCCACACACATTTCGGCACACCCCTCACACGTGTCGTGGCCCCATGGGGAGCTCCACCGGATGCCCCAGTGCTACTGTCCACATGCACTGTCCACATGCACAAATTTCGGCACCCCTCTCACACGGTTGCCCCATGGGAAGCTCCACCGAAGGCTCCAGTGCCGCCGCCCGCATGCTTCCCCCACACCATTTTGGTACCCCTCTCACACGCTTAGTGGCCTCTTAGGGAGCTCCACCGAAGGCCCCAGTGCCACCGTCCACATGCGTCCGCCGCACCCATGTCGGCAAACCCCGCACAGGGTTCGTGGCCCCATAGGGAGAATCACCGAAGAAGATATTCACAATTGCGGTACCCACATCTGCATATGCTTGGGTCCTTCGCCAGGCATATATGAAGAATCATACAATTACAAGAATATCGTCCCAAAACTATGTTGGGCCTTTTTCTGAATTTTCCTCCTGTAGAGGGACATGCCCGATTTAAGGCAAGGTTGGCGGCGTGCACAAGGAGCGCTTCTTAGAAGGCGCTTCTCAGAAGGCGCTGGCCCAGCATCTACAGACAAGGCATGCGACGTCTCTAGGAAGCAGGGGTGCTTCTGAGGGGAGCCTTCCCTCCGCCCCCTACCCCCTTCTGCGCGTGGCTGACAACTGACAGTATCGAATCGGCAGCTCGGATCGCATCGGAATGTGCGTCGGATCGCGTCGCGTCGGCGCGAGGACGGAGTCGTATTGCATCGGCCGCGCCAGGGCGCACAACAGCGCCATGCAAGCCTCGGGCCGCATCGGATCGCTGGAACATCGGAACCGGATCGGATCGTGCCAGCAAGAATCGATGTCGAACCGGATCGAGACGGGGGCCCGGCGCTCACAGGCCCCAGGGGCGCTCGCCGGGGGTCCGAGATGGAAGAAGGCACCGCTACCGCTACCCTCGCTCAGGAGAGACTAAAGTACCACTTCCACCAGCTAGGGGGGTGGCCGCTCCCTCCCCTCGAGCTGGGGGCACCCCCTTCCGGGCACTCTCTGGAGGCATGCCCAACACAAGGGGCCACCAGCTCGAGAGGGTGGGACAGCCACCCCCCTGGCTGCAGGTTGCTGGTGGTGCTGTTTTCTCTGGTGGATTGCCCCGTTTCTCCTGGGAGGCCCCTGTCGCCACGGCCGGACTCGCCTCGCAAATCCTGGTCCCGGCGCACACCGGGAGAGGTCCGGGAAGCAGCGGTGATCGGCAACTCTGGGCTTCCCGCAGAGGGAGGCCTGGGCGCCAAGGCTCGGCAGGGGGTCCACAACTGGGCTCGGGGCGAGTGGCAACCACAGGGGGCCGACCGTTGGCCGCTTCGGACTGATCACAACCGGCTGTTATTGGGACGAGGTGGCTGCGATGCTCTGGGGAAGCTCTAGTATGTGTTGATGAGTAGAAGGCTCTCAAGATCTCTTCTGGATGCAGCGACTTCCCTCGCAAAATTCAAAAGAATATTGAATAAGAGAAATTGTGATGGGGCTGGTCACTGACGGTTCTGCATCTACCATATACGTTATGCAATGTATGTATATATACGTAGATATGTCTGTCTCTGTGTATATATATATACATATAGATTGTGGAGTGTATGCAGTGCAATGTATGTGGTGCTATGTGGCGAAATTAACATGGCGCACTTTATGTGGTTCGCAACTTACGCGGAGAAACCGACGTGGTGCAATCCAAGTGATGTAGTCTAGTAGTCTATGTCGTGCGATCTACGCGGCGAAATATAAGTGGTCCAATCTATTTGGTGCAATCTATGCTGCGCACTCCAGTGGCGCAATCCGCGGTGTGCTTTCCATGCTGCGCAATCTTTGTGGTGCTGTCTAGTCTACGCGGCGCAGTTAGTGTGGTGCAATATGTGTGATGGAATATACGCGGCGTAATATATTGGTGCAGTCGATGTGGTGTGATATCACACCGGCCAAATTCCTCAATGCAGAAGTAAGAACCCGTAAGTATCTAGGAGGTCCATAACAGACCCCACTATGTGTATGCATATGTATGTATGTATATATGTATGTATGTGTATACGTATGTGTATGTACATATATAAAGAGGCACAAGAGCGCGCCGATATGCATGCATGAATACATGTGAGCCCATGCATACGTTTGACTATACTTGTATGTAAATGTACACTTAGACAGAGTACGTACTGAAAAGGCAATCTATTTGTATATATGCCTATGTACTTATCCCTCGGGGATCCGATGGAATCCGTAAGAAACCCTCGGGAATAATCAGGAATCCCTCGGGAGTAATCAGGAATCCCTCCCGAATAACCAGGAATCAAGTAGAAATCTCTTCGGAATCCCTGAAGAATCCTTGAGATTCCTTCGGTTCCTTAGGAATCCCTTAGGCATCCTCCAGAATCCCTGAAGAATCCTCAGGAATCCGGTCGGAATCCTCCCCCCTGTCCACAGGAATCCGCAGGAACCCCGATTGAATCCCAAGGGAAGGAAGTGCACTGGAATCCCTTAGGGGTCCTGAAGGATTTCCTCGGGATTTCCTGAGGATTCCTTTGGGAATTCCCAAGGATCCTTTTGGAATCCGTAGGAATCCCTGAGGACCCCCTGAGAAATCCTCCGGGAATCCCTTGGGAATCCTCGGGGATTTCTCAAGAATTCGTCAAGAATCCTTAAGGAATCCCTGCGGACTCCTCAGGAATCCCTTAGGAATGTCTCGTGATTCCTTCAAGAAGCCCTGAGGAATCCCCCCAGGAAACCCGCACTCAACCCGCTGGAAGGGGGAAGTGAACGGGTGTGGCGAGGAGAGGAAATGGGCTCGCCTCCTTGAAAGGCGCGCGCGCATGCATCCCGCCCCCTCGTCAGGGCTGCAAGGGGAGGGGTGCTCCAGTGCGCGCTCCCACCGCCCGGCCCGCCCTGTGGGCGGGGGCATCCTTCCCCCCGCCTTCACCCAGGCGCGGCCGGCTTACCTTCTCATCAATATGATCCCAGGCGCGGCTGGCGATCAGCGAGGCAGAGGAAGGGGAGGGCGAAGAGGGCGTGAGCGAGGAGGAGGCGGCGGCGGGGGTGGAAGGGGGGTCTCAGGCCCAATTGGGGCGGTCTTCTAAGAAGACCACCTATACCAGTACCATGTTATGTTATCGTTCAAGGCAGGATGCGGTATACGACTTCTCGTCTAACATCCATATGATCACATCCAGGGTTGGGGAGGGAAGGCCCAAATTGTATCACATGCGGAAGAGACTGACACTTCGCAAAGACAGGTGCAGCGGCATCGCCATCAGCCTTCACGTGAAGCGTGACAGGATGGTGCTGAGAGACAGGATACGTGCGCAAGGCTCACTGAAATACACTGCGCAAGACTCGTCAAAACTTACAACTTCATGAAATAATCGATGTCACGCTTAGATTCCTTCTTGGCACACGTGGTGTTTCGGATACGACTAGCTCCATGCGCGCACGGAGGATCATTGAGGGAGAAGTGGTTCGACCCCTCCCTCCCGCCCTCCTTTCCCTCCCTCTCCCCCCTTCCTGCCCCCCAGCTCCGCGTCCCATTCTCCCGCTTCCTCCTCATTTCCATTGCTCCTCTCCACGGCTTTCCCTCCCACACCGCCACTCCATGCGAGCCCTTCGCCGTGTTTCCTCCAATAGCGGAACAAACAGTGCCAAATGTGCTAGGCCAAGCTTGCCTCAGCCACAGAAGCGTGACGCAAATGTGACTCAATGTTCGTGCCGTTCTGGAAGGAGACCTTCTTACCATAACTACGAAGAGCTATTCGTGTTCCGCACTCCTCTACAGGGATCTCCTCCTTGCTGTGGTCGTCCTCACCGAGCAGCCCTCCAATATGCAGCCCTGTGTGCCCAAGATGTTTGACGTAGACATTGAGGTACTGGATACCTTGCTGGGTATGCCCGTGGATCACCTTCAAGTCCACCTTCCCGAAGGTCATCCAACTGGAGTTGAGCTCGCCGTCAACTTCATCCGCACGGAACTTGATGCCACCAGCTTGCCTAACCTCTGCCCACGACCCCGTGATGTTCAACTCTCGGAAATACATGTCCGCACATTTATGCCCCATCTGCCTTGCCTCTGCATCGACACGGAGCAGCGTGTCCACGGTGCCCGCGCCTTTTGGGATATGCAGCAAGATGTGCCTGCCAGGAGCCATCAAGTCGAACCGTTGGCCGTAAATATTCTGCAGGTGCGGGTCTCCCTTGGCGCTGGGCGTCACGCTGTTTTCCGACGCTCCCGCAGCTGAAGTCACGCTGTTCGCCCCACTCAGGGGCAGCGGCTGACTGAGGGGCACTGGCATTGCGTCGATGTCGGTTGACACAGGCGCAACTGGGACAGGCACAAATCCGTCGGCATCTGCCGGAATGGAGCTGCCAGTCGGGCTTTCTGTTGGGGGGGGTGTCAGAAGAGGAAGCGGACTAGAGGTGGGGGTCGTAATCGGGCTGCTCGTCGGGCTTCCCGTCGGGCTGGCTGTTGGGGCCGGCATCACGAGAGGAAGCGGCTCGGAGGTGGGCGACGCAGTCGGGCTGCTCGTCGGGCTTCCTGATGGTGACGCCGTCGGAGGAGCGGTCGGGCTTGAGGTGGGCGCCGTTGTCGGGTTCCCCGTCGGGCTGGCGGTCGGGGCCGGCGCTACGAGAGGCAGCGGCTCGGAGGTGGGCGACGCGGTCGGGCTGCCCGTCGGCAGCGCCGGTGGAGGGCCGGGGGCGGGCGCAGGGGCCGGGCCCGGCATGCTCCAGCCAGGGGCCGGGGCAGGGCCCGGGGGCGGGGGCGGGGCGGGGCCGGGCGCGGGCGTCGGCCGCAGGCCCAGGCGGAGGCCAGGCCGGTCCGGGGCGCGCCGGCAGGCGCACAGGTACTCGGAGGTGTCGTCCAGCTCCCGCAGCCTGGCAGAGCAGCTGAGGTAGCCGGAGCCCCGGCTGCTGTGGGCGCTGTCTTTGTTTGCGAAGTATGCCAGGGACCCCTCCGCTCCGGCCCCGCTGTCGAAGACGCACGGAGACGCGCCAGAGTAATGATCATCCCAGCCTGCACCAATATACCCCTGAGAAGGAGATATGCTCCTTTGTCCACGCTTTGGCATGGAATTCCAAAGTGTCCAGCACACCTCCGAGGTCACGTTGTACAACGGATCCATGTTGCACGCCAGGCCAGACCGTTCGCAAACGTCGTTGCAAGTGCCTGAACCGATGACGTACTCGCTGTACTCCTCGTACTGCTTGACAGCCAGCTCGTACTCGTGCTCGTCGTGCTCGTGGGCGGGTCGAGTCAGCACGACGGAATACAACACAGGACAGACGGTAGCGAGCACCAAAGCCCGAAGAACCATCGCGACAGCGCCTGTTGATGGAGAAGGTGAGTGAGCCTTCATCTTGACATGAGCATCAAGACATCGCACGAATGGGAACCAAAAACGTGTTTGTGGACAATGCCTGAGCCATTCTGCCAGTGGAAGCCCTGTCTCCGTAATGTTTGCACGTTCGCTTCCCAAGGCGGCAAGGAAATTGGACACGAACGGGCACAACCAAAACATGCGTGTCAGCGTGAACCCTACATAGTAGATTAGTGTCTCCTCGACGTGCATTCTACGCGGTGCAATTCGCTTGTGGGAATTTGAGTCGCAGCTCCAATGCTCGAAGACTTATCCCACCTTTCCACAAGCGAAAACCGTTATCATGCAGATGGTGATGATACTGGCTCTGTTGACCAAGGCGAGGACAAGGACCATTACGATGATGACATCCACGATGATGGTGGAGACGATGACGACGCCTATGGTGATGGTGACGAAGCTGCTGGTGAGATGGTGGCGGTGGCAATCGTGACGCTGGCGATGATGATGCCACTGTGTTGGTGAGGGTGATGATGGTGCAGGCGCGCATGCGTCCATACATGGTAGCACACAGGCACTTGAAAACCAGTGTGCCTTCACATGTGGTTGACCTTCTCCGCGGTGAGATGCTCGGGGATCGATACGGTTTGGGAGAGGATTCGAACTGCGCGAGCGCGTGCGGCCCGCCCTGTCTCATTCGACAACGAGGCCAGGCGCGCGGTGGTTGCGTATCGTGTTCGCGGAGCCAGCGTGCTCTTACGGTGGGGGCATTGGATAAGGAAACCTTCGAGAAGGAATCACGGGTCTGGAAGCCAGTGGACCTCAAATCGTTGGATTGGCCATGGATATCACCGCCTCCCTCATCAGATCAGGAACCCTCCAGGGTCTGAAACCTCCTGGGCACGTTCCTTAACGAACGCCCCCCCCGTATTTAGCATAATGGGCTGAAACATACAGTTTCCGCTTGATTCCAACAAGCGCGCAGAAGTCTGACAACGTATTGATGAGAATGCAACCAGATCTCGATAGTCGTTGGAAGTCTACGTCTTGCAGCTGCTAGAACCCATGGGATTCGATATGATTTGCCATATGCGCGCGCGCGGCGGCGCGCGCATGTTGCCCGAATGGTTTCACTTGGTAGTGGTTGCTACAGCACTCACTTCGTACATAAACGCATCACATTTGTCCGGCAGGGTGGGGGTGGGGGACGATCGATACCCACGAACTTGCAAACTAGACAAACCACAAGGGGTACCGCAAACCCTAGTCTCGGTGGGGTAGTCAGACTTCTTGTAAGACAAATTTGGACAAGCAACTCCTGGGAGGTCTTCGTCAGGACGGTTAAGGCCGATCAAGCGAGATTAAAAGGCCACTGAGCTGGATCAACCCGGATTAAATCTGGGATTTAGCAGGTTCAAGCAGGAAGAAGCCATATTCAACGGGATCAAGCTGGATTAAACGGTATTAAAAAGCAAACTAGGACAGTTTACAACAAGGAATATACCAGTGCCAATTCTGAATTTAACCTCCCAGGAGTTGCATCTTAGAACAAGAACAAATGAGGTACCTGCCGATGGCATGTGCATGGTACAATCTACGCGGTGGAGCCGACGTAGTACAATCTCGGCCGTGCATTTGTCACAGGAGGGGGTACCAGCAATTCAGCACCATCCGCAGAACACAAGAGCAAGAACGCGAAACAAACACAATCATACAGGGCACCAGAGGGTACCAGCCAGAGGGCAGCACACAAAAAAAACAGGGCAAGAACGTGGAGGAAGACGACAATCAATGGCAACATAGGGCACACACAGGCAAACACTCGAAAGTCACCATGACAAAAGGCACCAGAAAACACCACGTGTAAAACACCAGGGCAACAACACGAACGTCGCAATAATCGAAGGCACCCGAATGCGCACGGACCATAGACCACCACCCACGGACCATGAAAACAAGAATACGACAACTCAAAACAAGAAAACTGAAAGAAAGCACGCAGACCTTGCAAATCAGCCAGGCCAATCAGACCACGCAGAGCAAGCAGACCAAAAGAACGCATACAAGCTCCTCTACACATCCCGACCAGTTCAGGCAGACCAGCCAGACAGAGCAGGATAAGCAAACAAAAGCAGACCGAACAGACAACTCATACCTACAGGTGCAACCAGCTCGATCGGACAAGACAAGGTCAAGAAGACAAGACCAACCATACTAGGCAGACCAAGCAGACTAGGCATATCAAGCACATCAACATGGTCACACCAACAAGACCGACCATATCATCTGGCCCAGCCAGACCGCACGAAGAAGCAAAGACCAGTGGGACTAGCCAGAGACAGGCAGACGCGCCAGACGAACCAGAAGCAGCCATGTCCGCGGAAACCCCAGCCTGAGATCCAGCAAGCAAGACGCGGCGCGGCCCCTCACACTTCGCAACACAGCAACAGCCATCGAACGCGGACACGCACACACACAACACAACACAACAAGTCAAAACACAACAAATCACAACACAAGACAACACAACACGAGACAACACGACACAACACAACACGACACGACACGACACGACACGACACAACACAACACACACACACACACACACGCTCGCATCGGCGCCGACGTGAGCAGCGCGGCTGGGGGTCACAGCGGGCGCGAGGCCGAAGCCGAACAAGCGAACCGTCAGAGCCGGGCCTGGGTGGGGCTGCAGCAGGCGGGGGGGCGGGAGCCGAAAAGGCCAGGGCGCGCCGCGGCGGGCCAGCGCCGGGGCAGGCGACCGTGAGGCGAAGCTCGGGGCCGGGCAGGCAGAGCAGCGCACGCTTTTTCCGGCGGCGTGGGCACCACGATGCGGCGAGGGCATGGGGGAGAGGCAGCAGCAGCGGCGCCAGCACAGAGAGCGAGGAGGTGCGGGCGCGCTGGCTCCTCCGCCTCCTCTTCCCCTCAAGCCCTCCAGCTCCTGCTCCCCCTCTCCTCCGCCTCCTCTGCTTCCTTCTCCTCCTCGTCCTACCCGCACCCCCTCCCCCATTTCTCTACGCTTCCTCCTCAGTCTTCTCATTCTCCCATCCTCCTCTTCTCCCTCCTCCTCCCATCCTCCTCGATCTCCTCAATCCCGCCCGCGATCACGAAGCTCTCGTCGAGTTGGCACAGGTGATCTGCCCCCCCCCCCGCACCCCACACCACCCCGCGGGTGGCAGCTGCCAGCACGGTTGGTTCGGCAAATCTTGGGGGCACCGTCGGCAAGATCGTCCTCGGCTTTGTCCGACAGCTTCCGCGGGCGTTCTACCAACGTCAGCCGCAGGAGAGAAGCCAACCAGCCAATCGTTGTTACCTCCCCTGTGGAAAAAGCCTGTGCGGAAAGTACCGTTCCCATAAGGATCTGGAAAGACTATCACAGGGTTCAAACAAAGAAGCCGTTGTGGCAAGCATCAAGAATCAAGACAAAACGACATGCTCGGGCCGAGTTGGCAAGAAACCAGGGAACACCGTGCGGCCCCTGACCAAGGATCGGGGTGCCCTTTCCGCAACAGAACCGTCCTCTCTTTCTCCCCAGATGCAGTCCGAGGCCCGAGAACCGAGACTGTCCGGAAGCGACTGCCCCAGGAACTGGCTGCACGGTGCAGGTTCGACAGTGCTGCTGCCTGTGCCGCTGCCGCGCTTGCGGGCACGCCGCCTCGAGCCCGTCGACTGAAACACCGACCTGTTGGCAAAAAGATCGGCGGTGGACAGGCCTCCCTTCTGTAGACCTCCCTTTCGTGAAAGCGGCCTGGGGCCGACACCGACGGACCTGGACCCGCAAGAATGACGGCCGCGACGCCCTCTCGCGAACCGAAAATGGCCAATTCACCAATCGACGAGTCAGGCCAGAAGGTCGATCAACCTCCGAAAAGATCGGGCCCCCGGATGCCTGCGGCCAATGGGAGAACGCGCGGGCTGTTCCGCGCGCCGCCCGCGGACGCCTCCTCGCGCTCGGCCCGCGCCGACGAGGGCGGGGCGGAGGGGGAAGCTCGGGCGCGCCCAGGAGGGAGGTTTCGCGCCACCTGGCCCGAAGCACGTGCGCGCACGAGGGGGGAAGGGGGCCCAAGGGGCGTCCTGAGCGAGTGGTAAGGTAAGGGGCCAGGGCCATGATTTCTGGAAGGTTTCGTGGTCCCGACCACGATGCCCACAACCCCCTCTAAGCCTTGCCTCCCTGGGCGGCTTTCGCGACATAACTCCAGCCTCCAACGGCCGTTCCTCCTCCTCCTCCTCCTCCGTCCTCCTCCACCTCCTCCTCCCCCTCCCTCCTCCTCCTCCTCTCCTCCTCCTCCTCCCTCCTCCTCCTCCCTCCTCCTCCTCCTCCTCTCCTCCTCCTCCTCCTCTCCTCCTCCTCCTCCTCCTCCTCCTCCTCCTCCTCCTCCTCCAGCGGGGTGGCGCCCCTCACGTCGCCCCTCGTGGGAGGGGCCGGCCACTGTCCACGCCGTCGTGCCGTGCTCGGCGTGGCACGTCGGCGCGAGTGGGCGCGGTGTCGGGGGGAAAAAAGCGGGGCGCTCCCCTGCGCGCCTTCTGGAAGCCATGTGCGCGACGGACAGAACAAAAAAAACACCCAGTCTTTCGCGAGATGGCATGGCGACCTTACGCGGCGGCTTACGCGGGCAGCCAGCGCAGCCACGCAGCATTGGAAGCGAGGGCGCTCACGCGCGACCTTACGCGGGGAGCCGGCGCGCGAACGTCCGCGCAGTCGACCCAGCTCCTTGGCGTCGCTCGCGTGAGGCCCCCGGCCTGGTCCCCGACCCCGCCTCCTGGACGCCCCCGAGAGGAGCGAGGAGGCGCGCCGAGCGCTGCGGGGGCCGCGCTGCCCGGGCGCCCGCCCGCTGCCGCGGCGCCCCCGAGCACCACGCCCAGGCGCACCTCCGGCAGCGCCCGCCGGAACTGGCACAGGACGGCGAGGCAGGAGAGGCACGGCCTCGGCGAGGCGCGGCGCCCGCCCGGCCGCTCCACGGGCCAGCGCGCCCGCCGTCGCGGAGCGCGCGCGGCGGAGGTGTCCAGGCCGCGCTCCCCGATCGGGTGCTGCTAGCAGTGCTCCTCCTCCTCCTCCTCCTCCTCCTCCTCCTCCTCCTCCTCCTCCTCCTCCTCCTCCGTCCTTCTCCGTCCCTTCTCCGTCCTTTTCCTCCTCCTCCTCCTCCTCCTCCTCCTCCTCCTCCTCCTCCTCCTCCACGAAGCTCCTCCTCCTGACCCACGGTGCCGCCCGGACATGCAGGGAGGCCGCCGCGGGCTGCAGAGCACCCCTCGCGAGGTCCAGAGGGCCCCAGGGGCTCCCAAGTCGGAGCGGGCAGCTGGGGGGGCACCTTGGGCGCTGGGCACCCTTAGCAGCGCCCGACCGCAGGCGCACTCTCGGTGGAGATCCAGCTCCTCGGGATCTTGCCGGAGGCCTCAGCACTGGCACATGACCGAGCGACTCTGGCGGCGAGCACACCCCACCCTTCTCCAGACAGCGTTTTGGGCGCTTTCTTCAAGGAACTGGGTTCGTGTGCCGCCGTGGCCAACCTTTCGTCGCCCCGTCGACGCCCCGGCGCCGCTCGTCGCTGCCTCGTCGCGGGTTCGTGTGCCGCCACGGCCTGCTAATCGTCACCCCGTCGCCGCCCCGTCGCCGGCCGTCGCCACCCGCCGCCGCCTCGTCGCCGCCCGTCGCCGCCGCCTCGTCACCGCATTGCGCCACACGGATTGAACCACACAAATCGCACCACATAGCGTACACCACATAGCTTGCACCGCATGGTTTACACCACGTAGATGGCACCACATATGTTACTTAACATAGTTTGCACCACGTAGTTTGCACCACTTATGTTGCACCTCATTGATTGCACCACAGACATTGGAAGACGTAGGATGAACCACATAGCTCACACCACGTAGATTGCACCTCGTACGTTGCACACCACAGCTTGCACGGCATAAAGTGTACCACGTAGGTTACGCCACATCGATCCCATTATGTGGGCTCTTTTTTACAAGTGAATTCGGATCCACCACCCTCCCGAGGCTGGCCTTATGTTCCCCCAGGGGATGTGAAAAAATACCCCATCGCTGGCCAGGCCTGTATCGACCTCCCCATCATCGTCAAATAACACTATGCGCGCGCACTCGTTCATCAAAAGACGTCCATCTGCGAAAACCCCTTGCAACACATGAGACGAAGTGCGCACGCGCGCGTCGTCGCGCGCGCATGCCGCAACTCTTAAATTACCCCAGTGCGACCCTACCTAGAAGTTTGAGCCCCTAGGAAGGCAGCATGAGTTGCTATGCTATGCTATGTTATGCCATGCTATGCCGCGCTATGCTATGCCATGCTATGCTATGCAATGTTGCACTATGCTATGCTATGCTATGCTATGCCATGCTATGCTATGCTAAGCTATGCTATGTCATGCTGTGCTGTGCTATGCCGCGCTATGCTATGCTATGCTATGCTATGATAATCTGCGCTATGCTATGCTACGCTATGCTATGCTATGATATGTTATGCTATGCTATGCCGCGCTATGATATGCTGTGTTATGCTATGCTTGGCTAGGTTATGCTATGCTATGCTATGATAATGCAGCGCTGCGCTATGCTAAGCTAAGCTAAGCAAAGCTAAGCCAACCCTCTAGGCAGAGCCTAAGTAGGGAATTACACACATGCTACGCTATGCTATGCTATGCTGTGCTCTGCTATGCTACAGCTCAGCGAAGCTAAGATGAAGGTAAGCCAAGCTAAGATACACCTGAGCTAAGATGAAGCTAAGCTAAGCTAAGATGAACTAAGCTAAGCTAAGATGAGATAAGCAACGCTAAACTAAGGGGACGTAACTGGGGGAACCGCGGGGCGGATACTGGGGGAACCGCCCGGGGCGGGGTGCACTGCCCGGCCCCTTTAAGAAAGAGAGTACGAACCCTTCTAGGCAGAGCCTAGGTAGGGAATAAACATCGGCTTCGTATGGGTTGCAACACCGACTGTCCCGAAGCCATACAAACAACCACTGGTTTTAACCAAGTGGCTTCTCGAACCATTCGCCGCGCTTTTTTTGGCTGAATCGACCGAAAATCATGACCTTCGAACAATATTCTCATCGATTCGACCTAACGGGCTTCTACTGCGTGCGACTGTCGAGATCAATCGGACGGCGTTGTGCCCGTGCTGGGGGGGGGGGGGGGGCTGGGCAAGATCCATGTCAAACAATACGGCTCGGGGGGGCGCGCATGTCGAAATGCTTCCAACATTTGCATCACCAACACGTGGGCACCATCATCGTCACTTGCATCGGCGTGATCAGCATCGGCGCAATCAGTGGCCTTGCCGTCGTCATTGTCATAATGGCCACTAGCGTCGCTACTAGCATCATCGTGGCTGCCGTTGTCGACGTCACCATGATACCGCGCCCGTCCGCGTAAATGTTAGGCCTGCTCGCCTTATTTGTCTTGACACCGCGTAAAGACGGGGAACACAAAAACTCCAGATTCTCCCAAGACGGCCCATGAGGCCCTCAGGAAGGCCTTCTGACGGCCCAAGAGGTCTCAGACGGCCCAGAAGCCGCCCAAGATCGCGCAAGAGACACCGAAGAGACCCCATGAGGAACCCAACGTTGGGAATACGGACTGACCTTCGAGCCTTTCACCCCCAGATGGTCCAAGAGCCGCCTCTGAACCCCACGAGGCGCCCCTCAGAGGCCCCCGAGAAGCCCCCAAAAGCCCTCTCAGAGGCCCGCAAAGGACGCCCAAGAGGCCCCCAAGCAACCTCCAAAAAAATCACAAGATGCCCCCAAAGGCCCGTCCTACTCCTCGCCCTCCTGACTCTCCACGTCCTTCTCCTCTACTGTCGTCTGTTCAATTTTGCATTGGGAGTCGGCGGAATTGCGCAAGTGTCCTGAATAATACGATGCGCGCGCACTCGTTGTTCAGATGCCATCAGTTTATCAGATCCCCTTGCAAGAGAGATGATACAATATCCACACGCGCTCGGCGTCGCGAGCGCATGCCGACATGCTTCAAACATCCTCGGTGCCCCAAGGATTCCAAGATCGAGGTCCCCGGAAACATGCAAAACAACTCTTGCAAACTCACACCAGAAACACATAATATGCTCCAATATGGTCACCAATGCGACCAGACGGGCCTGTCGCGCGCGAGTGCCGGAATCAGTCGAACGCTTTCGGGCGTTTTTTGTTGTTGGGGGGGGGGGGGGCGATCCTTGTCAAATTGTCAAATGATACGGTGCGGGCCAATGGCACGTGTCGGCCGCCCGCGCATGTCGAAATCTGTCCAACACTTTCATCACCGACGCGTGGACACCATCATTGTTATCCCATCATTTTCATCGGCGTGATTCGCATCGGCGCCGTTACCATCATCGTCGCCAGAATCGGCACTACCATCACCGCGTCTGCCGTTGTCAGCGTCGCCATGATACCACGCCCGCCCGCGTCACCGACTCGCACTGAAGTGCCCGCGCGCCAACGCTGCCTGCGAGACGCGCTGAAAAGTCCCCAACGGTCAGCGCCACCGCGGCCGCGTCGGTCGTGCCGGAGTAGCTGGCCAATCTGCGCGCGAGCCTGCGCGCGCGAACACGGCCGCAGCGATGCGCCAGCCAGCGCCAACCAGTCATCGCAATCGCCCCCGCGGGAGTTTTTCAAACCAAATTGCGGGTGGGTGGGTGGGATTGATTGCGCGAACAGCGGAGTTGACAACTCACAGCGGAAACAAGTTTCTTGCACCGCATTGATGACACCAAGTAGATCTCATCGCTTCGACTGCGACGTGAAGCTTACACCACATCGAACGCACCACATAATTTTCACCACATAGAGATATGGACATGTATTGCGCCACAAACCTTGCACCACATAGCTTCAGCCACAGGTGCTCCGCTACACAATATGCTCGATCGAATACACTGTTTCAGGTCGACGCTGGCTGTTTTTATCGGCGGCGCCAGCGGACGGGGGCGCGGGCGTCGCTGACGGCAGGGCAACGCTGGGGACGGGCGGTAGATCAGGCGGAAACGAAAACGGCGGCCTGGGAGGAGGAAGCGAGAAAGGCTTATCCGCCGAGAGTCCGCGATGGAACCGTGCGCAACCGGCCGCAGGCACGAGCACACCCAAACATCCGAATATATCAACGTTTCAATCCCGGCGTTTTCCCCCCGTTTCGGCCCCTGTCCCTGGAAGGCTTAGCCTCGTGGCTATTATCGGGCCCCTCTGGCGTGGTCTTGCCAGCGATTTTCAAGTGTCTGGTCGTGTTGATTCATGTCCCGCGCATCATATGATTCATCAATGTTCGGCGGGGTTTAGACGTTTGTAACCACGATCTTCGACATGTTTAGCCACGATTAGCAAGAAAATAACCACGCCGTGCATCGTAGCCACGTTTGGCCACGCGTAGCCATGTTTAGCCATGGGCACCAACGAGCGTCTTGCACGCCAGAGTTTTAACCACGGTTAAGCGCGAAATAAACGCGCAATCGAATCCCAACCCGAACATGCGCGAACGACTGCAGCGACGACGGCGATCCGCATCTGCCGCTGCGCATAAAATGCATGGTGCATCGCGCCCAGGATGCGCCTTGGCAGATGGAACAATGTTTCACGCTTCGCGCATCCCCACCAACCGATCCAGAAACGTTGCCCATGAAATGTGGCGGGGCAGGGCAGAGGAGTAAGAGAAACGTATAGTGTAACAGCGTTGGCAACCATGGTGAATTGAGCTAACCTCTGCGAACAAGGGGATGGCTTTGGAGGGCCTGCTCGGGCCATCTCTGGGGCCCGAGTGGGGGCGATGGGGGGATGGGAAGGGGGGGGGGGGGGGGGGATGATGACGAGAAGGAGGAGGAGGACGACGACGACGAGGAAGAGGACAATGAGGAGTACGAAAATGAAACCAAGGACGAGAAGGAGGATGAATGCGAGGAGGAGGATAACGACAAGGA